TCCCCTCCCTCTTAAACTTACTAAGTTTTGGCTAAAGGGTATTTACTGTGTCTTCAGCAGGATAGCTGCAGAAGTATAAGCCTGTGCCCTCAGAGTGAGGTGCTGGGCTGCAGGGTTTCATTACTTTTGTCATCTGGTTGTCAGTGTGTCTTTTAAAATCTTTTTTGTTTTGTTTTGTTTTTTGAGATAGTATTTCTTTGTGTAACAAGCCCTGACTGTCTTGGACTGACTTAGTAGATAAGGCTGGCCTTGAACTCACAGAGATCCATCTGTCTGTCTCCCAAGTGCTGGAATCAAAGTTATGTGCTGGTGTGCACTTGTGCGTTTTTAAATCTTTACTACCATGAGAATTTGCTAGCATAAGATCTGTTGTCTCGCTTATGTGTTGCCCCCTTTGGCTTTTCTGATTGGAGGCAGTGCTCTTGGAAGGTGACGCTGCCTTAAAGTGAAAAGCTTGTTTTAAAACCGAGTCCTTAGCAAACTCAGTGAGTGTCACTTAAGAAAACGACATGAGAGTAGGTGGGGACATAGGGAAAAGGTTCCTGTCGGGGAGAGAGTGGCGAGGGAGCTGGGGTAAAATGAGAAATGTGTCATACACAAATATGGAACTGTCACAGAACAGCAAAAACAATAGTAATAAAATAACAAAAATGTGGGGCTGGAGAGGTGGCTCAGCGGTTAAAAGCACCGACTGCTCTGTTTTTGTTGTTTTGTTTTGTTTTTTTCGAGACAGGGTTTCTCTGTGTAGCCCTGGCTGTCCTGGAACTCACTCTGTAGACCAGGCTGGCCTCGAACTCTTGAACTCAGAAATCCGCCTGCCTCTGCCTCCCAAGTGCTAGGATTAAAGGCGTGCGCCACCACTGCCCAGCCTGACTGCTCTTTCAGAGGTCCTGAGTTCAATTCCCAGCAACCACATGGTGGTGCACAACTATCTGTAATGGGATCTGATGCCCTCTTCTGGTGTGTCTGAAGACAGCTACAATATACTCGTATACATTAAATAAATAAATCTAAAAAAAAAATAACAAAAATGTTAAAAGTATTGAAGCAGGATTGTAGTGATTTTGCTAGTGCAATGATTATAGTAGTGGACTCTTCTGTCCTTTCTGCGCATAAATCTTAAAGGGAAAAGGTCCTTGTAACCAAACAGAAAAGAACAAAGTCTAAAATCAGACATCAATATTGGGCAGCGTATTAAGTACACTGTTCGAGGTAGTACAGGAATTGTGTGCTTGTGCTAAGAGAAATCCAGATGCAGGGGTCTGAGGAAGCCACAGCAGTGACTCCACGCCTCAGACAGCAGAGGGATGCACCGTCCCCTCATGTCTTGTTTTTACTCTCCGTTTCAGATACGGTTTTGGAGAGGCGGGGAAGCCGAAATTTGGCATTGAACCCAATGCGGAACTTACGTATGAAGTTACACTTAAGAGCTTCGAAAAGGTGAGAAGATAGAACTGCTCTAAATCGCGGTGGACTTCTTCTCCATCCTCTTCCTGTCACTGTGCATCAGGTGTTTGGCTAAACGGTGTTTCTTTCTGTGCTTGCTTTTCTTTACCCGTGTCTCTTGTCCCAAACTTCTGCTTAGAGCCTGGGAAGCTGACATAACACAGTTGATGTAGGGGAGGAACTGTTGTTCTTATTTTTTCTTACTGTGCGGTAGCCTTTTTTTTTTCCTTTAACTTTTGGGTGGAATCCAAGACTTGTTCCCTTATTTGTTCCTAGGCTTGTTCTTTTTGTACCTTTTTTCTGAGTTGAGGACAGAAAAGTTCACATACTGCCAAGCAGCTCCTTAGGGGAGTTGGGGTGCAGCTTTTAACGGATTGTACACTCCCCAGGAGTTACACAGAGGCCTCCGCCGGGCCTCCAGGTTACAATCCCATCATCTGGGCCTCGGGGCCAGCAGCTGCAACTAGAGACAAGAAGCAAACCTGCTACCCAGGCTGTTTCTCATACTTGTCCAAGAACAGGAGAGGGAATTTGCCATGGCCTCCAGGCTGCTGTGCCTCCTTGAACATCCTCCAACCCAGGGCTATCTCTGGAGGCTCCCAACTGTACTTCACTGGGCAGATAGACAGTGTCCCCGTAAGCTAAGTAAGCTGTCATCCTCAGCTGTCTCTCTGAGTGACCAGCATTTCCCTTCCCGAGCCCCTCAGGAAATGACTGGCCTTTTTATTACATTTTTATTCCTACAAAATGACCCCCATGTTCTGTACAAAAAGTCTTCATTAGAAATGTGATCTTCCATATTATACTAGATTTCACAAAGAAATTGTCTCCTTGGGCTGGAGAGATGGCTCAGCGGTTAAGAGCACTGACTGCTCTTCCAAAGGTCCTGAGTTCAATTCCCAGCAACCACATGGTGGCTCACAACCATCTGTAATGAGATCTGATGCCCTCTTCTGGTGTGTCTGAAGACAGCTACAATGTACTCATATATATAAAAAATAAATAAATAAATCAAAAAAAAAAAAAAAAGAAATTGTCTCCTTGTTAGCCTGTAAGTTTGGGGGGGGGAAGGTGGGATTCTCCCTTCCAGCGTTGTGTTCCCCAGCACGTGCTCCTGTCATACTGTTGCGTGTCTGGAGGTGACCTCTTCTGAAGGACTGCGAGCTTGGTTCTCTTTTGTCGTGGACTTTATAGCTAGGAAGGAGAAAGACTGCTGCAGGATTATGAAGGCCGTTCTGCTTCCTGCCCTTTCTAAAGAGCACCCTCTCCCTTTCTCCATGCTTCGTGACAAAATGCTGCTGTCACGCTGCACCACTAGTGTGTGCTAGAGTCGCTGGGCACACTCATGTGTGGAACCTCTGGCGTTTACCTGTTTAGTCTCCTGCCTTGTAGAAAGGAAATGAAGCCAGACAAGGCAGTGCAGCATTTATAACCCCAGTGCTCCATTAGCTGAAGCAGAGGGTGTCACCTGACTTGGAGGCGGGTGCTGGGCAGATAGGAGGGACACTAGGACTTGCTGGCCAGCCTAGCCAGTCGGTTTGCTCCAAGTTCAGTGAGAGACGCTGTCTCAAGACATTCAGCGATGTCTCAGAAGATGGTGTCGTGGGTAAAAGCCCTTGTCACAGCCTGGGCCTGAGCCGGGAGAGTGCAGACTGCACGGAGCACACACCGTGGACCTCCACGCATGTACATGGAATAACAAGTGAGAGTGGGACATAAAAGTCAGTACACTGTAGGAAATGTTTTCAATAAAGTTTAAGTCAAAGAAAAATATATGAAAAAAATAAACAAAAATGGTTATTCTAAAATAAGAAGTTGGAGAGTGAGCTTGGGAGCTGTGGCCCTGTGCCCTTCACACGGGTGCACGCACAGGAGTAATGTTTCTCAACACTAAAACCAGTATGCACTCAGCCCTTGTTACCAGGCTTTCAGATAATTAAGCCGGCAGAGGAGATGTCTCTCTGAGGGAGAGAAACTGCTGAGCAAGCTAGCTTCCTTCCTTCCTTCCTTCCTTCCTTCCTTCCTTCCTTCCTTCCTTTCTTTTTCTTTTGTGTGTGTGTGTGTGTGTGTGTGTGTGTGTGTGTGTGTGTGTGTGCTAGGGCCTTGCGTATGCAGGACAAGGACTGTCTGACTGAGCGATGGCCCAGAGCTGCAGGCCCGTGTATAGTGTTCTGGAGAGTAGGGTGTGCCTAATACAGCCGGCAGGTGATGGGGACGTTGATGTGCGTCTCTACAGTGATGGGTTTGCATGAGCTCGTCTTCACAGTCATACTTTGTTTAAAATCCCCCAAGTAAAGCCAGACATAGTGGTGCACACCTGTGAGCCTGGCACTTCGGAGGTGAAGGCGGGAGAGGCCAGAGTTCAGGGTCGACAGTACATAGGAAGTCTGTTGTAGAGTCCTGTCTGTCACTCAGGAGGCTCAGAAGCCAAGCTCACATACAGAGTAAGTGGAGGCTTGCCTGAGATACATGCAGTGCTGTCTGCAAAAGAAAGAGAAAACTTCCCAGGTACACACCTGCAAACTGATACTGCTAGAAGCCATAATACATCTGGTTGAATGAAGAGACAGCGGCCTGACCTGGGATGGTAGAAATGTTCCATGCACATGCAGCTTGGCCTGGACCATGAGTAGTCATCTCACTTTCCAGTCAGAAAGCAGGCTGGACAGAAACGACCTGCTAATGTGACAGCAGCCCATAGTGAGGAAGCTCAAGCGGGGGAAGTCGGGGTCCTTCCGTCCCTCAAGAGGGCTTGCTTTGTCACTCTACAAGTGTAGTCTTTGAGAGTGCTTGGTGCTGTGTTCCTGGCTGTCTTGTAGAGATTGCTGCTGCTTGTTCAGCAGGCGTCAGCCGATGTGTTTCCTCCTCTGCTCATCTAACTGATGACACCGATCTGTACGCAGGCCAAAGAATCCTGGGAGATGGACACCAAAGAAAAACTGGAGCAGGCTGCCATTGTCAAAGAGAAAGGAACCGTGTACTTCAAGGTGTGTGAGTCTCTAAGTCCTTTCCGTGTCAGGATACTTACCCAGTGTCCGTGAGCCGGGAGGCATTCCCCCAACACCCTGTGGTAAGACGCATCCTCAGTTCTTGCAGGCCTGCTGTGTTCAGTAGAAGGATTAGTGGGCAGAGTGAGCTCGTGTGCAGGAGATAATACCGGTGCCTGCTCTGTGTGCTGTGAGCCGGTGGAACGTCTCAGGAGCGGGCGAGGCGACCGCCTGCGTCTGTGCCCTCAAGGCCTAGAGCAGCCTGGTTGTTGTCTAGTGAGCATGAGAGAAAGGATGGAGGGGGTCACAGGGCAGAGTTCACAGGGGCGGGCTACACACCACACTTCTCCCCTGACAGTCACTAGGACATGAGACAGGAAAGAACTTGCAGAGTCTTCAAGCCACTCTGAATGATTTCTCCCAGGTTACCTGGTGTGTTGGTTTTTATGTAACTGAATGAAGGCAAGTCTCCTCCTGATTGCTTTCATTATCATTTTCAGTTGAAAAAACATTTTCAGGCTGGAGAGTGGCTCAGCAGTTAAGAGCACTGACTGCTTTCCCAGAGGTTCTGAGTTCAATTCCCAGTAACCACATGGTATTTCACAGCCATCTGGAAAGGGACCCAATGCCCTCTTCTGGTGTGCAGAGAACTCATACATAAGATAAATAAAAATAAAAAATCTTAAAAGTATTTTTTTAAAAAAGAAAAAACTTCTCTCTTTTTTCTCTTTAAATTGAAACAGAAGTTTTCACAGCAAATATCCTCAAGATAAATGTTTAATAACGTTTTATCAAGAAATACATCACTACTTATCAGTGCTGCTATTAACTGAGCAACAAGATAAAGTTGCCATTAATGGTACTGGCTGGGTGCCAGGCAGTGGTGGCGTACACCTTTAATCCCAGCACTTGGGAGGCAGAGGCAGGCGGATTTCTGAGTTCGAGAGTTCGAGGCTACCCTGGTCTATAGAGTGAGTTCCAGGACAGCCAGGGCTACACAGAGAAACCCTGTCTCGAAAAACCAAACACCCCCCCCCCAAAAAAAAATGGTACCGGCTGGGTACTAAGAGGGTCCTGAAGACTGGCATGGATGGTTTAGCATCCAGGGAAACCAGGCTTGGCCTTCCCCAGAACCTGATGAGGAGGAATCACGGGGTCTGTGAGTCATGCAGAGGGCGTCGTGGTGAGAGCTCAGAGCGGGCAGTCTTCTGTGGCGGGGCTGGGTGATGCTCTGCCTCGTAGTGCGGAGATCCAAGCCAGAAGCCAGCTTTGTTGGCATGCCTTTAATCCCAGGGCTCTGGAGGCAGAGGCAAGTGGATCTTTGTGAGTTTGAGCCAGCCTGGCCTACATAGCAAATTCCAAACAGCTAGGGCTGCACAGTGAGGCCCTGCCTCCAAAAAAAAAAAAAACAAAACCCGTGTGGCAGAAGCCCAAGTTTTCTTCGCTTTTATTTTTTTTAACAGCAGTCTTTAAACACAGTTGTTGCGGGTTTTTGTTTGTTGTTGTTTGTTGGTTTTTTAATAGCACTAGAAAGCAAGGAGGCGGCCGGGCGGTGGTGGCGCACGCCTTTAATCCCAGCACTTGGGAGGCAGAGGCAGGAGGATTTCTGAGTTCGAGGCCAGCCTGGTCTACAGAGTGAGTTCCAGGACAGCCCGGGCTACACAGAGAAACCCTGTCTCGAAAAACCAAAAAAAAAAAACAAAAAACAAAAAAACGAAAGCAAGGAGGCCTGAGGTAACCCTTCATAAGCCTCTGTACTGAGAGATACTGTCACGTCTATGGCCTTACCTGGGGAGTTGGAGGATGGACACCACGTGGGACTCTGCAGAACTGTGGGGTCATAATCCCCTCAAAAGGAGCACTGGCAGGGAGGGGCAGCGTATGTTTGTAACAAAGTTATAAACTGATGTGTGACCCATCAGCAGCCATGCAGATGGCGATGGGAGCCCTGAGTGGGGGATCTAGGAATCCGGCTGTCACCTTCATGTCATTGAGGTCACTCACCTGTGTTGCTGGAGTGCTACAGGGCTGATCCTATATTTCAACATGTTTCAAACTGTCCTAAAATGGCCAGTCTGGATAAAATCTGGGTCATCAGTCACACATATGGAACACATTATTTTTAACATGTAATTTGATAGACAAGATCTTTCAAAACATCATTCTGTTGGGGAAAAAATTAATGAAAGGTTCAAAACCACTGACCTAAGCCTTACCCCAGAATGTCTCTGAACATTTTGTCCCACTGAGCATTTCCTGGAGACACCTTCCTCATTCTAGGTGAGGAGCTCAGCGGCCTGCTGGTCGGGCTGTTGGCCTCAGAGCCAGTGGACTGTCGTCTGCCCACTGTCCCTTCTCCTTTCAAAGCTTGAGGCAGGTGCCTTTCTTCCTGCTGTGCTGCTCTGACCGCGTATCTTTCCGGGGTATCTGACATGACATGTGCTGCGTGCAGAGCCAGGCTGGACTACAGTTCTGTATCCTCTGACATCTGCACGCTGTATTCACCAGCTGTGGGCAGAGGGACGGACTGGTATTTAGACTGATGTTGAGACTTCCTTTCAACCTCTGAACACTCATGCAGAGACACAGGAAAGCACTGTCCTTATCAAGTTCTGAAAGTCACTGTCAACAAACAAGAGGCAGCTATGGACGCTCTGCTATGTGCGGGCATCTTGCGCCCCCTTGTGGTCCTTGGGATGGAAGTGTGGCAGACCTGGCTGTGCTTGAGGGCTGGAGTATTGTTGGGAGAGTTCTGCAGTGTCACGGCCCCACTGTCCTGAGTGCAGTCAGGGCTGGCCACCCTTGTGCCATCTTACAGGACAGGTCCTCAGTACTCATCTTGTAATTGCTGTGCGGAGAAGAACCCTCACCTATATTCCAGATTTATTTGTGTGTTACAAGCTGCCCTTCCTCTTGTGCGGTAGTAACTACAGCAGTCAGCACGCTGTCTCTACCTCACAGTCTGTTGTTTAGAGCATGTGCAATGTGCAGCATTCAGTTTTTTACAACTCTCAGAACTCACTCGACAGCAGGTCCATGTCTAGAGTCTGGTTATTCTGAAACAGTGGCTCACAAGGGTCATGTATCAGATACCCTGCATATCAGGTGTTTACGTTATGATTCATAATACTAGCAAAATTACAGTTAGGAAGTAGCAACAAAAATAGTTTTATGGCTGGGTCAGCACAACATGGGGAACTGTATTAAGGGGTTGCAGCATTAGGAAGGCTGGGAACACTGCTCTGGAAGCTGAGGCAAGAAGACCAGAAGTGCACTGGACTGGACAATGTCTCAAGGTCTTTTCTGTGTGAAATAAGAACAGAGGCCTGGAGATACAGCAGGGACAGTGCTTGTGAGTATGCGTGAGGCCTTGGAGTGGCAGACAAGAACAGGACAGGCTCTCACATGTTGTTTGCTCTTCAGGGTTATGCACACTGTATGCTACCAGTCGCCTTTGTGTGTCCCCTCTGCCCGTGGTCAGTACAGGGTACTCTGACCCACCCACTCTTACAGTAACATGGTGCCGGGCTACGCTGACTGACTGCTGCTCTTACTGCTACCAAGAGCCGCCTAGGCCTGCTGTGGGGTTGCCAGCTACCATATTGCAGTATTTACTCTCAGTGCTGCATGCCAGGAGAAAAGAGGAACGTCATCTCCTCTCCCATAAGCCAAACGGCTCACCATCCTTCTAAAAGACTGAGGAATGTTGGCTCCAAATGGTGTCACGTCACGTCCTGCTGCCAGGCTATAGGAATGCTGAGACAGCAAGCTGTGGTGTTCCTCTGGTCCGGGCCACTCCAGAGCTTCCACGGGACTAGGGAGGGGCAGCAGCGGCTAGAGTGGGGCTGGCGTGCAGGCCTGTTCCGTGTGAGGACCCGGCTGAGGCAGGGCATCCTCACGTCACTGTACCCTTTCCGGGGTGACACAAGTCATTTGAGGCTTTCTCTTCTAGGGAGGCAAGTACATGCAGGCTGTGATTCAGTACGGGAAGATCGTGTCCTGGCTGGAGATGGAGTACGGCCTGTCAGAGAAGGAGTCCAAAGCTTCCGAGTCGTTCCTGCTTGCCGCCTTCCTGAACCTGGCCATGTGCTACCTGAAGCTCAGAGAGTACAACAGAGCTGTGGAGTGCTGTGACAAGGTGGGTGAGCCACACCGCACCCTCTGTCCGGGTGGCACCTCTGCCCCTTCAGGCTGTTTCTCTAGGGTCAGCATGAGCTGGGCCGCCCTGAAGGATGGGGCTTTCTATGGACTACTTCTATCATGCAGAGAACTGTTGACAGAATTGATAAGTCTCCATCCTTACCTGGTTCTGAGGATGAGAGGATGAGAGTGGATGGAGAGCTCTGAGTTTCCTTATTTTGTTTGCGGGGCTGGGTATTGAACCCAGGGCATTATGCATGCTAGGCAAACACTTTACCATTGAGCCACACAGCCTACCCCCAGTGACACACTTCCTCCAACAAGCCACACTTCCTAGTCCCTAATCCTTCTAATTCTTGGAAACAATTCCATTTCCCCACCCCACCCCACCCCCGGTGAAGTATTGAACTCTATAAGCCTGTGGGAGCCATTCTTATTCAAAGCACCACAGTGGTAAAAGCCTGTGATCTCAGTATTTGGGAGGCAAGACAAAAATTGAGAGTTCAAGGCTGGCCTGGGCTACATGAGTTCCTGTCTCAAAACCAAGTGCTGCCAAGATAGCTCAGCTGGTAAAGGCTACCAAGCTGGTGACAGGAATTTGAATCCTAGGATCTCCATGGGAAAGAAAGAACGACTTTGTCACATGTTCTCTGGCCTCTTCCTCATTCATAGTATTACATGTGCATACACAAATGTAATATTTTTTTAGAGATTTATTGATTTTATGTATGTGAGTACACTGTAGCTGTCTTCAGACACACCTGAAGAGGGCATCAGATCCCGTTACAGATGGTTGTGAGCCACCATGTGGTTGCTGAGAATTGAACTCAGGACCTCTGGAAGAGCAGTCAGTGCTCTTAACCACTGAGCCATCTTTCTAGCCCAATAATTCATTTAAAAAAACAACAACAACAACAACAACAAAAAATAGCTCGGCAGTGGTGGCGCACACCTTTAATCCCAGCACTTGGGAGGCAGAGGCAGGCGGATTTCTGAGTTCCAGGCCAGCCTGGTCTACAGAGTGAGTTCCAGGACAGCCAGGGCTACACAGAGAAACCCTGTCTCGAAAAACTTAAAAATAAATAAATAAATAAATAAATAAATAAATAAGAAGTGGCAAAAACATTTTACGTGCTATAAGACTTTAGTTTGCTTGTTTGATTTGTTTTTATCACATTAGACTAAATTTTTGCCTTGAGAAAGGAATATTATTGTTAATTATACTTTTTAAAGTTTGTGGGTTTTTTACTATATATAATTGCTACAAAGTTCAGGATGTAAGCACACAAGAAAACCCAGCCGTAAAATTCCCATCAACTTTCTCAAAGTCACTCATTTAAAGATTTACCTTATTTAAAATATTTGTACATGTGTGTGGAATATGTATGTGTGTGTGCAGGTCCTCCCAGGGTCCAGAGGAGGACGTCTGATCCTCTGGAACTTGAGATACAGGCAGTTGTGATGGGGTGCTGGGGACTGAACTCGGGTCTTCTGCAAGAGGCATACTCTTGACTTCGCCAACTCCCCTTCCCCATCCTTTAAACATGTACTACATTTACTGTGTGGGAGAGGTTGTCGGTGTGTGTGCGCGCACATGGTGCACATGTGGACGGCCTCGGGTCAGTTCTCTCCCCTCCCCAACCCCCCGAGCAGAAGGACCAAGTTCAGTTTGTGAATCAGCTCCTCCACGGATGCCCTTCCCCACGGAGCATCTCACTCCCCTCCCAGATCAGCACTCTGTGTGGATTCCTTCTGGCTTTTCCAAATGAAGAATAATATGTTTGTTTTTTCAGACAAGCTCTCACATCCCAGTTTGACTTCAGACTTGCTATGTAGCTGAACTGGTCCTCCTGCCTCCACCTTCTGAGTGTGGATCACAGACGGACTGGTGGTTTTGTTTTTTGTTTTTAAGCTCAGGATAAAATTCAGTATTTTGTATGTACTAGGCAAGCTAAGCTAAACCCCAGCCTTAGCATTAAAATCCATGGATTTAGGGCTGGAAAGATGGCTCAGAGAATCGCTGTGCAAGCGTTGGGAACCAGGGTTCGGATCTCAGCACTCACATACCAAGCAAGCCTGGCTTCACCAACAAAGGACGGGATCAGGATAGGAGCATCACTAGTGCCTGCTGGGAGCACTGAGTGAATCAGGTTAGGAGGATCACTAGTGCCTGCTGGGAGCACTGAGTGGATCAGGTTAGGAGGATCACTAGTGCTTGCTGGCTGCCATCCTCCCTGAAATCTACAAACTTGTGAGCTCCAGGTTCAGGAAGAGACCCTACCTCAAAAGAAATAAAGCAGAGAATAAAAGGGAAGATACCTGTCCTCTGATGTGTGTGTGCACGCATCTGCACACACTTGGATATAAAAGTAAATAGAGAAAGGCTTGGACATAATTATTATGTGAAACCAGCACTCCTTCCACACAGATGAGTACGCTCTACGCCTCTCCCTCACTGTGCTTGCCATGGAAAGACCCACCCCTTAAGATCCGTTCTATGAACCATGGGGATTTACTTAACTGACCCTCACAGGAAGGTCTTCAGGGTTTGTTTTTATTATAAGGCTCATAATAATTCTAAGAGTTGTAAGAAAGGCTGTTCGGTGTTTCTCTCCACACGCTTTCGGGTGTTTGCACAGGATAGGTCACTGGAAGTGGAAGTGCTCGAGATAAGCACATTTAAACTTTGAGGGGCTGAGAAAATGGCTCGGTGGGAAAAGGGCCTGGGTGCGAGCGGAAGGACCCGAGCTTTGTCCCTGGTGCCCACATGAAGCTGTACGTGAGGAGCTGGGGGCTGCTCAGTGGTCGAGGGCTCACAGTGGCTCATAGCCGTCTGTAGCTCAGGTTCCAGGGGATCCAGCTCCCTTTTCTGGCTTACACAGGTGTGCAAGCAATGCACAGACATATATGCCAGCAAAATACACACACACACATAAAATTCCAGCCTGCCCATGATGGTAATATCAGTGCTGGCCAGCCTAGCCTCGTCAGCAAACCCCAGGCTGATGAGAGACTGTCTCAGAAAACAAGGTGGACAGCTCCTGAAGAATGCCGTCAGAGCTGGACATCTGGCCTACATACCCACGATTGCACGCACACATACACGTCGGGTGGGGACAGCTTGGCTTGTAGTTAGTTCAAAGGATTCGGTTCAGGTTTGGATGGCTGGGGCTGTGGGCAGAGCAGGGCAGACCAGAGCCTCTTCCTAGAAACCCAAGGCACAGAGAGACCCAGCGACAAGATGTGCCTTTTAAAGCACACCTCTAGGGCCAGGCACTCAGATGGCAGGGACAAGTAGATCACTGCATCTGAGGCCCAGCCTGGTCTACACAGTGACACCCTGTGTTTTATTAAAGGTACACTTCTGGTACTTTCCTCTAATCCAGTGGTTCTCAACCTTCTAATGCTGTGACCCTTTAATACAGTTCCTCAAGTTGTGGTGACCTGTTGCGGTAAATTTCCAATCCAAATATGACCGGTGAAAGAAAACACACCTCAATAATTATGAATATATTCTGCACGCCTAGATTGGGCAGATTCACCACTACACTGCTCTCTTCCTCAGCTATGAGACCCTCATAACTTGTTTCCAAGTCACGAGTTTGTCCTTCCACCTCATGCTCCTCTGCTCTTCCTTCTTCTTCCTCCTCCTCCTCCATTGTCTTCCTCCTCCATCATCGTTTCCCCCCCCTC